GCTGCCTTCACAAAAACCCATTCTTCTCAACTCCCATACGATCTCCTTATTTTGACATCTCTGTAAGCGGCCAGCTCCAGTTATGGATACTTTTTCACGTCCTAAAGGTGTCCACTCATGAGATCCTCCACTGTAATGTGAAGCAAAAAAGAGTGAGGGAAACGAACACAATTTTATTGTTTACATGTTGAATGTTAAAACCAGGTGCATAAAAATATTTTCTTCAAGTACAATGACATTTACAATGTAGCCAAGGAGCATGGCAAGAGTTCCATTAATTTAATAAATGCTGCTCTCTTTCAGGGTGATTCTGACAGACGGCATAATAAAGGTAAGACTATCCTGCTGCTGATTGCTCTTAAATACTTGAAGCCTTATGTAGTCCAGTTAGTTACCACTCTTGCAGGGTCAGATAAAAACTGTAATTGCCTCCCTCGAATAATCACCCACCTAACCCCCCCCCCCCCCCCTTGACGGAAATATTTCAAATAATCACCTCCCTTGAACAAATAACCCCCAACCCTCTCACCATCTTTTGTTTTTTTTTGGCAAATTAAAAATCAACAACTTGGATAACAAACATAGCTGAAGTGGAGTCTGATGCAGCAAAACTGATCAGTGATGATTCAACCTCTGATGTCTGAGGATATTGACATTGAAAATTAATCAAGGAACCAAATTTGGGACACTTAAAATTAAGCCCATGTTCAATTTATTTGATGTGAATATTTTTTTTTAAGCAATATTTGTAATGATTGCCTCCCTCGGATAATCGTGTTCCCTCGAATAATCGTCCCCTTTTGGTGCGAATATTTAGTAATATTGCCCCTGGCTATTATTTGAGGAAATACCGTATTTGGCTATTGATATTACTTGTCCTTCTTTTCTCTTTGATTCTTCTTTCTTTGATTTGCTCTGACAAAGGGCTGATGCTCAGAGTACCAGCTTCTTTCCCAAGGATGGCCAATCTACAAACCACATGTATCTACTTCTTTTTTGACAGGTTGTCATTGTAAGCGATCAGGATGCCTAAAAAACTACTGTGAATGTTATGAGGTAACACTTTTAACTTGCGATCGGTTCTGAGTGTTGGCAGTTGAAAAGTATTTTATATGGCTACATCATTAATTTCCTAGAGGAGCTTTCCTTTATTGAATAGCATAATTGGATAACATTTTATCCCTCCACTAAAACTAATATTTCACATTTTTAGATAAATGGTATACAGTTACAAAAGATCATCACCATCATTTATTTATTTCCTTGCAGGCCAAGATTTTGTGTACAAATCTGTGTAAATGTACAGGATGCAAGAATTTTGAGGAGAGTCCAGAGAGGAAAACGTTAATGCACTTAGCAGATGCAGCAGGTGAGCTGAAAAGCGTTGAGTTTTGTTATGTACAAGCAACATAGAAACAGTTGTTTTATGTTTTCGAAATTTTGTATTGAAAATGCGCATTGAAACAGTTTCACTATTTTTCTTATTCATTTGTTTCTCACAACAAAATGTAAGGAGATAAAGCCTGATTGAAAGAATGAAAACGTTATTTAGCTTTGCAGCTACTGGAGAACACTAAAAGTTAGAACTTAAGAAACAACATAAACAAATAATTAGATTGAAGGCAGATTTTTTGTGGCAACAAATGCCATGAAATCGCCGCTAGTTTACTCGTGTGATTTGAACTCACACCTATAATCAGCGACAAAATTGTTGGGACACTGTCTGGAGCCCTCTTCCTCTCCCATGCTTATCCAAAGGTGGCTTGGTTGTTATTGCCTACAGCTACTCAAACAGCTTAAACAATGGCACGACGCTGCCTAGACAAGGTGGAGAAGGGAAACCTTGCTTTTTTTTTCATTTTGACGTTGATGGTGTCGCGTGTTTAAACAGACCTTTGGAAAACCTTTCATAGTGTACATGTATGCATCATCAAACTTTTAATTTTTTGATAACATGAAGCTTGGTTTTTATTCGATAAACATGTTGCTGTATTCTCTTCATGTACACTGTACTTCTCATCTTGCAGAGGTTCGTGTAAAGCAACAGAATGCAGCCCGAACTAAACTAGAGTCTCAGATAGAAGACTTACCATCAAGACCGACCTTTTTGACTAACACTGGGGAGAGGTTAGTACTTTGATATGAAGAACTGAGAACCTACAATTTCCCAAGTTACCCTTAACAGGTTCCTATTTAGGTTGTTAAATAGGTTTCTTATTTTCTGAAGGAAAAAAATTCGTTGTAGCTAAGAGCATTTAGTGGTATTCAGCTTACTCCTGATATAAGATCTGCACACCATTACATTGCAGTTGGAGTGATAAGGCGCCTGTCTTCAAAGAGGATCCCGAATGTCGACTTTATATCTATATTGCCCAATTGTACATGATGTTTTTATATAAAGATCTTTGAAAATAAGAACCTGTTTCAAATTTTATGCTCAACAGGTTCTTGTATAGAGGGGGCCTAACTGGCAAATTGTAGCCTAACAGGTTCTTATGTTTGATTTCCATTGACGCGTTTTAACGCACGTAAATTCTAATCACGTAAATAAATAGAGGCAAGATAAAAGGTGCTGAGCTTAAACGAGAAGGTGAGCGAGGTTCAACTTCACGCACGAACGTTCGTCAAGAGAGAATTCTCTCTTGCGTTCGTTAAATTACGCGGCACTGGAGATCAACCCTTAGTCGCGGGTCGCGTCTCCTATCGCGTGCGGGACTTTTCGCGACTCCCCCAAATGGAGAGCTTGCTCGTAGGCTATGATTGCAACGCTAAGTGTTTAATTTGAATGATGTACAACATAGTTCTTTGTGCCATATTTTCAACAGGCTTCCCTTCTCATTTGTCACTGATGACGTTGTACAAGCAACTTGCCAATGTCTCCTTGCCCAAGCAGCCGATGCGGAAAATGTAAGTTCAATTTGTTTTGTAACTTTTGAGATTTTATACACAACAACAGCTGACTTACTTGACGAACAGAAGAGCCTCTGGGCTCTTGCTCTCTTCCTATTATTACAAGAAGTGATTTAAATTCCCTGCTGCTTCTGACTTGCAAGAAAAGCGATAAGAACCTGCCTGGTCACTTTCGTGTACAACCATATCGATTCCGCAAAGGTGAAGTCTTGTGCGTTCGGAAATTCAGCTATGTTTTAGTGTGGAGAAAACACTCCCAGACGAATATTTTTTTTAAAAAATGTTACATTTCTTTTAATTCTGTCGCCTTAGACGTGCTTGCAAGTTGACATTTTCAAGCGACGAAGTCGCATAAACGACCCAGCCAAAACGGACTTTTAGAAACTGTTGTTACCTCTGACGAGAGACAAAGTTTGGTTTCCATTTTAAACTGGCTGTTCTCCAGTCTCCTACACAGGCGTTCTTTGTTTCGTCACGCAACGAACTTCCCTTGGGGAGGAGCGTTGCGTTACAAGACATAAAGCACGGCTACGTAGAAGACTAGCTGTTCTTAGTATCTTAGCCCCTCCCAATGTGGTAGCTTTGGTTCATTGTTTGTCTCACGATAGTCACTTCCCACCTCAGTAATGATAAAACTTTGATGCACTTTTTTTTCATCATTAGGAGGGGAAAACGCCGGCTATGATCGAAAAGATGGTTCTTGAGGAATTTGGGCGCTGCCTTTTGTCAATTATCCACACAGCAAATGGAACAAAAGGCGAGTTTTGTTTATTTTTGCATTTTGATTTCAGCTCTTGTTATACCTTGTATCATTTTGTCTGTTTTTGTTAGCCTCGCTCCGGTTCTTAAATAGGGGCTATCAGGGAGGTAGCTGTCTCAGTCAAAATTGTCTTGCCCTCCCAATGTTGTTGTGCAGATTTGGTGAGTTAACTGCGATAACCAACATTGGGAGGACGGGGAGACGGGCCAGAAGTGAAAAAACAGCGTCGGATGGAAGTGTCCCAACTATTTTTGTCTGAGACTGCGGCTTTTTCACTCTACTGTACCTTCTAAATCAACCCCCCTCCCCCACATCTTTTTGTTTTCTAGGGCAAGTAGAGCCAGTGGTAGGGTCTTTTTCAGCCCGTGAAATTAGCCGGCTTCCTCATAAATAACTACCGTTATGATATTTGCTTGGCAGAGAAACAGAGAATTCAGAAATGCTGTGGGGTAATCAGTTTTATAGTTTGAACTTCAGACCTAATTCGCACCTTTCCCCGTCGGCCGCAGCGATCCCAAAAGGTATTGTGGGTGGTTTTTAGTGCATTCTTCTTCAAAGAAATTTGAAAGAATGGGACGAGAGGTCATGGACGTATTTTTGCGTGTGCTAAAGGAAAGCAACAAAAGTAGGTTCGACAGCTGCAGTGTCAGCAACAGTGCATTGATTATATCCCATATTACCTTTCGGGATTATCGCATGCACATTTTTACCTGTACCGCGGAAGACACTTTGGTTAAGGTTATTCATAAATACTAGAGAAGTAGAAGTCTTAAGCATTTATATCTATTAATAGCATTTCTTATTTGTTTTCCGCAGAATAATGTATGGTGGATTGTTGCATAGAATACACAACTTATCCTTCGCGCGATTTTTATCATAATGTTCAGTAACCAGGAGAACACTGGACGGCATTGGTAGAATTTTTATCTCATATAAAGTAGTGTAAATACAGGTTTGACACCGTATTTAGTATGTTTTACATTTTGAACGCCTAACGGTCTATACTGTAAATAATGCTCTTTGCTGGTATAAGTCCCATCCGCACGATCAAATTTTATGGGACAGTTTTGATGTGGAAAATTTATTTGTACGCGTACAAGGCGCTGCAAATTTTGTGTTAAAACTCTATTCCATACGCACCATGATCGACTCTAAGTTCCTGTCAACATTTTTTGTTTTGGAAAACCTTCGTTTTGCCGTTCACACTGATGCGATAGAATGCCGTTTTCAAAGGCCTCCTTTTTTGAGGGACTAAAGTACTTGTTTCATAAACTTCCGCTTTCGAAAACCTTCGTTTTGATATTGTACGGTGATCTTAGCTTTTGAGTATGGAGGGAACATTATCGTGTTACCATTCAGATGAAGCCACTTCAGCAGTACTTTCACGTGGTACTTACAGTGTTGCAGCATTTTACAGGATGAAAATTGGCCACTTTTTGGCGTGAAAGTGATAACATGGACGAAAGGCCAAAGCGCATTGCATAATTATGGACACTGACAGTCTAACCAGCGGTAACTACATTTATCGCATTAATTATGAGAAAATTTTCTCATATACAAGGCCAAACGAAAATTGCCACGTTAAAAGTGACATTGTGGATGGCAACCGAGTAAGTACTGTTCTCATGTCTTCAGAAAGAGTAAAGACGGTAAAGAAAGAAACGGTCAAGTAAGATAGTGAGTTCTTTCGCATCCACGCGGGGATATGTCTCAGGTACCTCGCACTCTCCGGAGAAGAGTGTCGGTGCCCGGACGATTTTCGGGGGGAGCTCGAGCAACAACTGCAGCGACGGTAGTTTAAGTTACAAAACAAATGGTGTAACTAGAAAGAACACTTACTTTGGGCGTGCGTAATGTAAATTCCTTTGCCGTCTTCAAGAAAACGGCAATGCGTAGTTTGATTGAAATAAGAAGAAAAGAAAATGCCGGACGGGCGTGGCGCATTCATGACTGTTCCAGTCCAAGAGAAATCTAAGTCTAAACTATAGTTAGCACTTTTTTGCGTTTAGAGCCTTGTACGTATTCTATTGAAGTCTCTAGTTTTAAGCGCAATAAAAGATCTGAACACGAAAACTGTCAATTTGCAAATTAAGATGGTCAAGCTTGCTGCCCTTTTAGGGGGAGAGGGGGAAGGGGGTGTAGTTATCCCTTATCCCTGTGCCATCAGGCGCCCTGTGGAATATGGTTCGTCTTTTCTGGTACCTCTTAGATCAGATAATCCTAAAAGTACCAAAAATATTATCCACAGGACCTAAAAGGAGCTAAAAATACAGTGGAACCCAGTTAGTACGGACACCAAGGGGACATGCCAGTGCCCTTTAAAATAGTCCCTTGATACTACTTGTCCAAGCGAAACGAAAGACATTCATGCAAGTCAAAGAATTCATGTTAGACTGTTTGATGAGAATAAAAAGCGCGTGTTAGAGGGTCATTTTCCAGGTTACTGTAGGCAAAAGCGGTGCCCTATGGCCCAAGGAGCTTGAACTGGCCTGAACTGAGTGATAATAAGTGTTTCTTGCCGAGAATGATAAGGGTCAATGCCTTAGCGTGGGTAAAATCACCGGAAAAGTACGAATAAGTCATCGTTAATGTGGAACCAGAAAATAAATTCATTATGCTTAAAAACATTTTCGCTTCACCTATATCCACAAAATTGTTTTTTTCAATTTTCGTGCATCCTTTAAATTATCATCCCAGTTATCCCTGGTTGACACAGCCGCTATCAGGAAAAAAAGTCTTTTCCTGAGGGGAGCGGGCGACTGTACACTGGCTAACAAGGCCCTCAATTCAAGCTTCCAACTAACAGTTACACAAGGATTAGGTTTCTAGGAAACTGCCCATCTACCCCTCCCTTAAGCCAACATTAACACTTACTTCTCATTTAGGGAAAAATGTTGGCTTAGGGGAGGGGTAGGTGGGCAGTTTCCTAGAAACCGAAATTGATCCTGTTCAGTTTCAAGATTTTGCCGCACACGCCGCTGATTTTGTCTTGCAAAGCATCGCGTTTCCTAAGCTTGATTACCAGCCGCTGTCCGGGAAATGAGCCGAGAGAGCGGCGGAAATAGCAGCCTGTTCCAGTCGTTCAGATAGTGAACTGTGGCGCGCACGTCTCTGCGCTGTCCCCACAATCTGAGCGCCGGAAACAAGCTACGGAAATCGAGCCTAGTTGCAACCTCTGTGAGCTCTTCCCCCTGCCCCCTCCCCAGTAAGTAAGCCGTAAATCGGTTTACGGCTTCCTCGCGATCTCCGCGAATAAACTCGCGTTTTGCACTTTACCAGGTATAACTCTTCTCGTCCCCTTTAATGATTAGGAAAGACATGACCAAGACGTTATCATATCGAAACTAATTTAATTTGCAAAGTTCAAGCTGTCACATTAAAAAAAATAACGTCATTATGTTCTGTGCTATAAAAATACTTCATAAATTATTATTTCATCCTCACTCATGTGCAGATGACAGTCAAACTATTTGCCTTTATATTACGATCCAAAATTACACTACCTTTCATGAACTAAGGACACAACAGAATCGTTAGGGAAGCTGTAGAGGACAAAACCTATCAGTAGACTGCTAGCAGTTCCTCGAGATTATCGCGCAGTGTGTTGCGAACGCGGAAACGAGGAACGTGCCTGTGGGAGTAAGTGAGAAAAAGGACACTCTCCCCGCCCCATATAAACTAGTCATATAAACGTCCCAGAATTTTTAAGGTGTCAATCGCAATCAACGGAAATACAGATGAGCAACAAAGATCGTGAGCTCGTCCCCTGTAAAGTGATTGACTTACTGTGTTCTATGAATTGGCAGATTCAGTTTACCGAAGCGCTAGTAAGTTTGAATTGAAACAGTTCCCTTAACTACATCTACGTGCCAAAACATCTACATACAATTTGTCTATAGACTGAAAAAAAATCGGAAAAAATTATAAACTTGCCTCTTCGCTACACACCTATGTGCACAATAAATTCATTAAATAAATAACCGTAAGAAATTTCAACATCGTAAAGAAATTCACCCCATCAAACTGCTGATCTTCCCCTACCAATTAACCTTTAATTCATGATAACTTAGCTTATAAATTCTCGATTGAGTGAAGAAATATTGTAAAAAAATATCTTCTACAAAAACTTCGCTTAATTTATAGAAGGAAAGGAAGAAAAGAGAGCTACTTTCCTATCCAAGTTTCCAGCCTCGGCCACAAAACCACCGTTCCAAAATGAGAGGCTAATATCCTTGACCGGTTTACACGTAAAGCAATCAAGTCAGAAATTTGGCAACTGTAAACCCGTGAGGTGGACCCGAGAGTAACCTATTCTCATGTTCACGGCGCTCATAGCGTTTTTGGGTACCCAACCTCAAAATAGTTCCTTTTCGGCGGCGATGCAAATCTGGTATGACTTAGGCCTTAAATTTTGGGTGGGAGTGCCAAAGATTTACTTTTACCCGGTGACGAAAACCTCGTTCCCAGGTTCTCTCTCCTACATCGCTCCGTAACGACGGGTAGGAGAGAACCCTGGGAGCGAGGTTGGATAAACCAAGCCCCATTACTCGATTTCTTTCAAACATTGGTCTGATTAAGTTTCGCGAAAGATGATTCCTCCTCTTCAAGGAGAGATACTATCTCAGATGGGTTCGCACAGTCAACATTGAGATTTTTATCTTGCGACTTTCTCTTTTGTCTATTCGTCAGGCCTGCTTTCTCGGGGACACCTTCTGTGGCTTCTTCTCCCTCTTCTTGCTGAACGACATTCCCATTTCTTTTGTCTTCAGTTAGATCTCCTTTAGAAAGTTCTTTGAGTTCCATGCCAGGAGAGTCCGGTGAATCGATAGGGTTATCTAATTCGGAACTTTTTCGAGAACCAAAAAGTAAGCTTACTTTTCTATCTCTATCGCTCTCCCCGTCTGTCCCTTGCTGTTTCAGTTTCCGACTTCGGTACTTCTTGTAAATCGTGTCGAAATTCGACACAATAACAGGCACAGGCAGGGCAATCGCTAAAACACCACAAAGTGCACAGCCCGAGCCAACAAGTTTACCCCAAAGTGTCTTGGGATACATATCTCCATAGCCGACGGTTGTCATAGTCACTAAAGCCCACCAGAAAGCATCCGGGATACTTGTGAAGAAAGTGTCTTCCTCGCCATTTTCGGCATAATAAACCATGCTGGAGAAAATGACAATGCCGATTATCAGAAAAAATATAAGAAGACCCAGTTCTCGGAGACTCTTTTTCAAAGTTAATCCGAGAATTTGAAGCCCACTAGAGTGACGCGAGAGTTTAAAAATTCGGAATACACGCACAAGTCTCAAAATTCGAAGAAAAGCCAGCGAAAAATTCTGGCTGTCGCCGCTGCTCTTGAGGGCTAGCTCGACATAAAAAGGCAATATCGCTAACAAATCAATAACGTTTAGAAAAGAACGAACAAACAGCCATTTTTGAGGACTAGCAATTAATCGAACCAAATACTCAAATGTAAACCAGCTGATGAATGCTATCTCTAGCAAACCAAACACGGCTTTCACCGAATGAGCATAATCATTGTGCTCGCGAAGCTCTTGCTGCTTCGCCGTATCGTTTGCCGGAATGTTATCCCCGGGCAAAACTGTAAATTCGGGGAGCGTTTCTATACATAAAACGACAATGGATGCCACGATCACTGAAACAGACAGAAGCGCCAACACGCGTGCTGCCTTGCTCGAATCAGGACATTCGAACAGTCTCCAAATAAACTTCTGCGCTCTATTTTTCGGCAAAATTATCTCCCTCTCAGGCGGTTCGTCTTCATTCAAGATGTCTTTCACCGCGTTAATGGCTTGTTGTCCGAGTTCAAAGAATTCCACCTCCTCAAGCAATATTTCTGGGGCGAGTTCTGGCGGACAGACCAATCGGCCGTTTGATTGATAGAAGTACAGAATAAGTTCAAATACCTGGATATTGCGATCAAAGAAATACTCATCGCGAATTTCGTCGTAGAATTGATCTCGCTTTTCTTTGTTTCCTAGGAGAGTCGACGGGAATCTTTCTAATGTCCTCAAATAAGTCATGTATCGGAATCCGGACACGTTTAGAACGATTCGACGGTGTTTGGAAGGCGAGCGCCCTTTTCGGTGACTGGAGAAATTTTGGACGCCGCTATCTCGGTCAGAACTGTCTTGTTCATTGTCGATGCTCCTTGATCTTGAAGGTTCAGCGGCCGCTTTAGGTAGGTTGTCCGCCCTTTCCCTCTTCAGTCGCAATGTGATTGCGCCATGTGTACTTAAATTTGCTCCCATTTCTCCTGTATAAACAAAACGAGAGGGTACGCAATGAATACAACAAGTTGTAATTAATTCAATGCAAGCAACAGGTTTCTGAAGACAGACGTCGATGCTCCAGAAATGAAATACCTGTGCCCAGATTGAAACGGACATTGTGCATTTCGCTGTTTTCATGAGCAAAGACACGTCGTGGTTGATCCTACAGATCATTAAAAAGTACAGAGATGCTCGCTTATTACTCACCGCCCGCTCCGCACCGGGAGCCGAAAGTCAGCCACTCGTGCACTCGTAAACAAGAAAAAATGTGTTATCTTACTGATAATAGCACACACCAGTCAGCAAGGGTCACCTTCTTCGGGGTGAGCCAGTGAATTACGACACTGGTTTAAATATTAAAAACTCCTGAGTGAAAGCGACGCTTTCGGTCATCACCCTGTATTTTTATACCGACTAACAAGCTTTTATTTGCACAGACACAAGTAGGTCGCGCTTCCAATATGACAAAAGTCCATATCCCGCCGGATTTAATCATAGAACAATTGAAAGGCATTCATTTGAATAAGGAAATCAAAGCAAGCATTTTGGCCAGTTTAATTCAGTCGCATTTCAAGTGAAGCTGACATGCAATTGCTTTCAAACAGCCAGTCTTTTTCCTGAGATGGTGAAATGTGGAGAATACTTGCCATTTCTTTTCCCATTACATGAAATTTGTCTCTCTTTCGTCGAACATCGACACATTGCAATTCCATTCCTTTGGGAACTTTTGATCGAGTACATTCATTTCCTTTTGGACAAACTAATCCCTCTTTGAATGCACTGTTCTCCAAAATGAGCTAATTTGTCCTCTCGGAAAAGACTTAACGGTCCAAGTTTACGTGTTGGTGATATTGGACGATCTTGTTACAAGTGTTGCTTGAAGCATAAAAACCGCGCGCCACACATAGTTAATTGTTAATTGAGCAGTCAGTAATGGTATTCGAGGCCAAAAGGGCAGTGAACTGTACACAAGTAGAATCTATTATCTGCGCCGGAAATATGTTTTATACTGCTAAGAAAAATAATGTAATCTAAGCTTGCCTCTAATGTCAATCCCTCCAAAAACTTTGGTATGCTTTTTGTTCACAGTGCATGCATTATTTTTATAGTCTCCAAGCCCTTGGACTAATTAGCCTGAAAATCGGTCTTATTGTTTTTAGTTGTCGCCCGCTACAACCATATTTGCCGCTAACTGTAAATGATAGCTATGCGATGAAATCGTTTGCAGGAGTAGTCTGGCTAAGTTAGTTACGTGTTGTGTTGTTGCCTCTTCATTTAATGACATGTAATGATACAATAGTACCTTCAATTAGATAGTGGAGAAAGCAAGAGATTAAATGAGACCTTATAATGAGCTAGTTTTGTTGGCAGTTAACTGACAACCCTATAAAAATTAATTACAGCACATCAAAAACAACTGCGACGTGCTCCCCGGAAAAAACGCAAGATTGGCTCCGGTTATTCTAGCAGTGGAGCTATTTTCTAACACCTTTCAGTTGATCCAGGAAATTTATTTTGTGTTTGCGTAATATTTACTTAAATATTTAAGCTAAAACACAATTTTAAGCGCATCGAACAGTGACACTGTCTAGCTTGTATTGGCAGTCAGACTGCCTTGGTTTGGAGGCTGCAAAAGACACCATGTAACTAGTAACTTCAATCTGATTTCATATATAGTTTCAGGAGTAAAACACAGGGTAGGTCAGGGTGGAGTCCTGGAATTTTCTGCTTTACCGTGGACCGGACTCTTGTATCAAAGGGCCACAGAATGTAGCTGGTTTGTCTTAGACACTAAAGTAGTGTAATATTTTCTTCGTATAAGTAAAATACCTTTAACGATTTTCTTTCAGGACTGTTAAGACTACGTTGCCCACTACTATATGATCTTCTCCTAGTGATAACAAAATGACAGGTTTTCCTTTGTAGTGTAAATGCAAAAATATGGTACTGATTTATTTCCCTTAAAGGTGAAAAAATTTCTTATTTTCCTTACGAAGCAAAACTTGTTAAAATGTTAATGCGGTTCAAATGTGCTTACAACTGATAAAAGCTGGTAAAATAAATCAGTTCCCTTGACAAACTCAATTCGCCTGCGTAGCAAAACGCTTCCGCGCAAACCTTCCGACTTCAGGCAGAAAGTTAGAGCGAGGGCTCTCTTTCTTTATTTCTCAACGAACTCGCACGAAACGCAAGCTACGCAAGCTGTACCTGAATGGGTTAACCCGCCTGCCAATTTTCAGAATTTTAGCTGAGTTGCACGAAATAAAACTGCTGAATCTAATGATAACCCAGCACATCACGCAGAATATCGCAAGGTTAACTTAATTTCCATGTTTAAAAGCTCGCAAACAAATGCTTTTCAGACCTCCTACTAGCCTTGAGTAGTTACAATGGTGTTTAGAAAGAAATTCTGTTAAGCGCTAACAAGAAAAAAGCACGGATTAGCGATGCTGAATTGGGGAAGGAGTCCTATGAAGTGTGGTGTCTTGAATATCAGGTCCATCTATGTCTACTGAAAGCTACAGATATATGGGCAATCATCGAATTCCTTCTAGAATCTTCTATCATAACTGACAAAAGATATACAAAAGATATAAAAGCCTTGACTAAAGATCGTCCTTGAACCACAATGTTAATAAACAATGTTATGTAATTAAACACAGCTTGACGATTTTCGACGGCCTGTTGTTGTGTTATTTTTTTTTCTCCGTGTACTGAGAAAGATTACTGACGGTAATTTCGAAAAAATAGCCCGAAGCCTTATTTTTTAACAGCGTATTGATTTTGTATCAACTTTTTCACATATAATTTATATACAAAAACAACTTGAACAAATCATGGCTGAGTTTTGTTACTCTCTTTGTTATTCATAATGACACGCCATCAATCACTGCCGAATTCTTACAACTTTATCCATCAAATGAGAATATTATGACAAACGGAAGACTTTCTGTATTGTTAATGTTGCAAGAAAAATTATACTAGCGATCAAGTTATACTCTCCTATGGATTACAAACCATGCATATTCTATTAAAAATTGAAATGTTAAATATTAGCAGTGATAACTCAAACAGTTTTAGTCTTTAAAACACCTACGTGGTTTTCTAAGTCTTAAGCATAGACGAAGTCAATGATTGAAAAATGCTGACTGCGAGGAATAGAGTAATATGAGAAAATAGAAGAGGAGAAATGCCAATGGCATTATTCTCTGCTAAATGACAGAATCGGGCTCAAACAATTTCTCCATGCAAAGCAAGCCAGGTGTTCCGTGCAAAAACCGGTCCCCTGGCTACAACTTAGTTTTATAGCACGAATTCCCTTGGTCGACTACCGAATCTGTTCAGCTTAGCAGTTTACTAGATTGACTATAAGCGATGCCAAAACAGAATACAGAGAGATGAGCTGATGGCAAAACAAGTTATCACGTTCTCCCCTTGAGAACTGTTCACAAAGAAACGAGTACAACGAAAGGAACATTTGAAGTGAGAAGTGCATGGATATTAATTTGACCAACCTTGATTTAACGAAAACTGCATAACACCCCGTCAAGTGCGTCGTGAGTTTCACGTCCTTGGTTTTAAAGGTCATCGATAAAATTATGCACTGATAGAGATCGCCAGAGCAGGGTAGTCAGATGTGCTGGTTGTGTTGTGGTTAAGGCACAATAGGAGATTGCCTCAGAGCTGTCTGCTATTGACAAAGCCGGCTTCACGTTATTTTCGATGCAATGACTTTTGGGTAATTACTATAACGTTGGGCAAGAATGTTACTCATGGCAAAAATTCCCAGAAAAACAAAATTCCTTTAAGAGAACAGCGACCTCTCTCTGGCCTTTAAATCCATCTAACGCCAGGCCCAACACTAAAGCCCTATCGACAACTGTCTAAGATGAGTTATCTTACCATGAATCTCGATTGTCGTAATCAGGAGCAATTTAAAAAACCGTGCATGTATGGAATGTTTCTTTTTTCTACTTGAATAGTTCATCAGCGCTGCTGATCAGTTCACGGGTATTTGTGGCGATGCAGATTAATAATCAAGGAGTCCAAAATTACGTACAGATCGACTGGAATAAGCTCATTTGCAGAGTACAGAAGGATGCAGGTGTCATCGATCAATGCTCGCCTTCTAGAGTACCTGACATACATCGCCTACATAAAGGTCTCGTGAATAAAGGGGACAATTACTTAGTAAAAAGACATCTTGATCATTAGATAAATTCTCTTCACCAGTACTAGAAAATGTATAGAGAACAGCGTGGAGATTATTTATGTTGATATTAAGACTTAAAGGGTTGACATCATGGATTAATCCCTCTGCTCAAAATAGCCAGTCTGTAGAGGTTCAAAGTATATTCTAGGCGAACGTTATCAGTTTTAAGAGAATTTTAGGGCTCTTTACTTAACCTAGAACTGACAGATATATCCCATCATGGAAACTGAGACAGAAGTCAGCTTTTTTAGCCTTGTTTTTTCTGTGTGTGTCTGTGTGTCTGTGTGTTTTGTTTTGTTTTTTTTCTCAATATGAGAAGACCATCTCAACGTTTTAAGTCGAAAGTGTCTTACTAAATAGCCGTGGTCATCGTCATGAAATAAAAGATGAAACTGATCATAAAGCGTTAAGCCGATTTATTCTTTTTAATAAGTTTGCATGAGGGGTGTCGTCTCTGCCTCTTCTTCTTCTTCTTCTTCTTCTCTTTTTTTGGCCTAAAAGGTCACAAATAGGTCCATTCTGTTTCTCCGTCGGCGTCAAAACATCGTCAGAAAATCACACTTGTCGCTTGTCAGGCACTCTGCAAGCTTATCGAATTTTAATCAAGGAAAACAAATTAAACTCACGGAAACCGCGAGTGAGTTGGATTTTACAAAAATCGACTGCGGAGTCGTCTCTCGGATCAGTCTTCGAGCCAAGGCGAGGGCGTATTTCGGTAAGCTAAGAGGCCGATAATTCGGAGCAACCCATCGAAAAATGTTATCTTGATAAGCTGTCATAGGAGCAAAATTCACTTAAATGAAAAATAATAATAGTTCCATTTGAGGAGCATGTTAACACCCTGTTTAATACTCAGAACACAGGAGTCCCTGGTTTTAATTAAAAGATGATCCAAGGAGAATACTTAGGGCTGGGCACACACCAGACATGGTGCCCATCGAGATTTCAATTACGTCTATTGAATTCCACCGACCCTTACATAACCATTACAATACCAAACAGTGATGGAAGAATTGTATGTCTGCACCATTAACAAACAAGCAAAAACTATCACCTATAACACCAAACGCAAACGCCTCCAATTTTGGGCCTAACAGTCTAGTAACACAATGGAAACTACCGCAAGCGACCACCCAAAAATTCGAAGACTTAAATGTTTCTTACTGGAGAAGGTCATTTAGAAGAATTAAATCGCCTACCACAGGGAGGCCTCTTCCGAGAAGAGGCTCAACACATCTGCTAAATGCGGGGTAGATAATATTGCATGCAATGTCTAAGTTAAGATATGTGTAGTTCCATGTTGTCCTTAAAAGTAAGGTTCTTCCAATAGTGTTAGTAACACGGTGCACAGAGCGAGCATTTTTTCCACCCATTTAGACTTTTCCTCACTCCCACAGCAACATATATTTGCCACTGGGTCTCCGAGGATGGCGAGAATAGAGATCAGACCATACGTGAGGTGGTCGCTTAAGTGGTTAGGTTTATAAAGTGAACTTCACTTAAAAGAAGCAACACTTCTCGTTTCTCTGAATTTTATATGAGTGGTGTGTAGTCTTGAGTTCTTCTCAAACTTGGCAGCATGGACACATATTTGCTAGAATTTCTTAACTATGCGATGCTCTTTCCCACCTCCCCCCTTGGAAAACCACCCCTCCCTACCACGGGAAAAATAGTTTTTAGTAAAAAGTAACCAGAAAGCTTGTGAAGGATGGACTCTGTTATTAAGGACCGCGGATATTGAATTTAGAAGACGTTTTTTG